GATCAATTGATTGCTGAGTAATGCTTCTAAGGGATTCACTCAGGATGTGTCCTCCTTCCCGCATCATTCTTGACGAAATTTGCCCACTACTAGCTTTAGAAATACTAATACCTTTAATAATTTTTTCAATTTCGCAGGCAGAGACTAGAATTTTGGTGATAGAATTGGGCGAGGAACGCAGGGAATAATCGCAAGGAGAGAAATATTCATGTGGCGACATAGTGCAAACAGATGAAAAGTATGCATTCAATAGCTCGGCTTTGCCAACATTATTGTGAATCCATTCATTTTTGTCATTTCTCAGACTAGGGATGGCGGAGCTCTTCTTCTACCCAATGACGCCTTAAGTAGTTTCCACCAACCACGAGAATCGGTTTGAATATTGTTTATGCTCTTAAGGTGATTTTGTTTTTCTCGCTCACAGGTTTTAGAAAAGTCCGCTGCTGCTGATCGGTAAAGGATTAGATGTTGAGAAGATTGAGAGCGTTTAAGATATAGTCTATTGCGTTTCTTGTACAAAGTTCGAAAGTTCGTTGTTCAAAAAGTTCCTAATGCTGACTTTTTTCGAAAAATGATCATTGCCGTCCGTCACACTGCCACATGACTATATGTATGTACGTCCGTCACACCGACACATGATCACCTGTATGTACGTCTGTCACACTGCCACATGATCATATGTATGTACGTCCGTCACGTAGCGCCGTCTCTCACTTTGCGTACCTACTGGATAAAATAATGACCAATAGCAGATGCGGACGCCGACGCCGACATTTATTTCATATGACCCTAGACTTTCAGTCAAGGGAATAACAAATGGAATTAAAAGTTAAAGTGATACTGTATATGTTTTCAAAAATGCATTAGATATCCGGGACTTTAGTTGCACGCCAGCCGAGTCTCGAGTCTGATTTATTCGGTCAAAGATATGAGCATACACAAATAGCAAAAAGCTAGTACAAGACACTAAAGGACCTTGCGGTATGACCATTCACACACACATAAAATAACAATAAAGAAACAACAACAAACCAAAAATGAAAACAAAGAAAAGAAAAACGAAACGAGTCACGACGCTACGAGCTAGATCCGATTTTATAACATTGTGGTCGAGCCGAGCCAAGCCACGAGTCGCTCTCTAGCGAGCTCTGGCGAGTGCGAGCCGGGTAAAGGTCTGACTCGCTCACCTCTGATACCTATTTCTGAGTCAAGATGAGCAGACTGTCTTATCATATACAAAATTGAGAAATTAACTCCTGCTGTGCTATATTTCCGATAATTTGTTAAAGAAAACATCTATCATTTTTAGAGAAGATAATAAACAAAATTCTCGTCTAATTAGTGTCGATGGAGCAGTAGAATTATTTACTCAATGAAAGCTTAACTCATGGCTTTAAATTCAGGGCTTAAAGAGTTTGAAACATCTCTCAGTTTTGATCCAGAATCTGGATTAAATACGTACAATTATATTTTGGTTTCGTACGCCGGCATCAAGACTTTTTCCAAGAAGCTGCTATGTGGACTAGTAGCATAGTCGATAACCTGTTGATCACTGCCTTTTGAAAGAAACAGCGAAAAACAACTTTCTGAAGTTGCCTTGGAGGAGCGTGAGAAGTTTTGGTATATCAGTTGAAACATTATCCATCAATAACCACCAATCCCCAAATAAAAGAGTTTTTGCACACGATTATTAAGCCTAGACTGTTCAAGATGCTGAATAACGTCTGTTTACATAAAATCTTCTGGCTATATGTGTATGAGCTCAATCCGAGTGGTCTTTTTCTCATTACTGTGTCTTTGGAAAACAGTTTTATCAAAAGCTGATATCGGATTCGTGATCTACTCACAAAAATACGTCGAGGAAGCTATAATGGGGCTGTTTATAATACTGTTTAGCTGTATTTCTGGAGAAAATATTAAGTGTAGTTAAAACACCTGTTATATACCGGCTCATAACACTTAACGGACAAACCACCTAGACAAGTCACTTATGGACATCAAGGTATTTGAAGAAGCCTTTTGGTAGCTGGTATTAACTCAGGCAACACAAACAAGACAGCTTCACTCATTCACATGAACAGAAAGTGTATGTTAGACTGTGTCCCACTAGCTCAGTGGTTAAAGCTTCTGGCCTGATGCATTTAATCAATATCAACGAGGGGTAATATAACTTAAAAGCTCTTGGTGGTGCAATGACAAAAGAACATGCTGAGGATAAGAACTAGTTGAAAAGAGAAATAGAATGCATCCACATACATCTGCGCTGCGAGCATCAGCAACGCATCTTAGATAACCACATAAACAAAATGTGTACACGTTGTGCCATATTGTTGTGTTCTAATGGTCTTTATATCTTCCCACTTGCAGGTTACCTATCGATATTGAAAAATTGTTTGTACAGCCTTGATTCATTGTTATTTTGTATTATATCTTTCGCTTTTTTGGCAATGCTTGTTTTCTTAAGGCCTTGCACAGTCAAGTGTGATATTCTTATTACATTTCTTTATCTTTACAACGAGACCGTGGATAGTTTAGGCTATAGAAATACAAGCATTGAGAAAAAAGCGAAAGATAAATACAAAATACCAATGAATCAAGGCTGTACAAACAATTTTTTAATATCGATAGGTAAGTCACAAGTGGGAAGATATAAAGACCAACAGAACACAACAATATGACACAACGTGTACACATTTTGTTTATGTGGTTACCTAGATGAGTTGCTCGCAGCGTAGATGTATGTGGACCACTTGAATTTTCGGCAAAGCATACTCAGAGACCGACTTTTTCAGCCCTGTATCAATGTTAGCGCAAGTATCATCATTCAAAAAGATATTTTGTAACTTTTTAGTCTGTAATAATAACCGCAGATGATTTATTCATTTTTTCGAAACCAAATTTGAAAGGATTCTTCTAGATTTATGGGTTTATCATGTAACTAACCCCACAATGTAAAACTGTTGAATGAACAATGAATGAGGTATCTCTTTCTATACACAGAGGACGTTAGATTACGTAGGTCTGACTTAGGGTAGCTGTATGTTTAAGGAGTGCCTAAGACGGAGCTGCGTATTTCAGGAGTGACTAATGTCAAGTGTTTGAGATGTCTTTATGGAACGAGTGCGTAAGACAGTCCAGCTCCTTTTTCTTAAAAACCGTGTGACTTAGGAGTGATTATTGTAGGTGTTCAAGCGTAGCTTCTTGCTCAAATTGCAAAAGCTCTTCCCCACGGGTAAGTAAGACACACTGGACGATTTTTTTTGGTTACTAGTGTTGCTTTCTAAGTCAGTATTTACAGTGTGTCCATTCTTGTTGCATTTTCCAATGAAATGTAAGAATTTCTGTTTAGTTTAAATTTTTTGTTGATATATGTTCATATTGTCTTTTTTTATTCTAGTATTATTTAATCATTTTGTCTGGAATTATACTGATCATACATTCTGTATCGAAGTTAGAAGTGCGACTTCGGACTAAGAAATGTCATTTTGAAAGATAAAATGATTTACAGGACATAAGTACAGACACCTTTTTTATTTGAAAACAGCAAAAGAAATTGAGAAACTCTGACTCGTCTTGTAATCAAGTTGAACTGCTTTTCCAAAACCGACAGAGCCAGCGTTATTCTCGTTGTAGATTTGTGTTTCTTGTCAGCAACCTTTCACGAATGATTGTTTGTCGCGAATATNTGCGACTTCGGACTAAGAAATGTCATTTTGAAAGATAAAATGATTTACAGGACATAAGTACAGACACCTTTTTTATTTGAAAACAGCAAAAGAAATTGAGAAACTCTGACTCGTCTTGTAATCAAGTTGAACTGCTTTTCCAAAACCGACAGAGCCAGCGTTATTCTCGTTGTAGATTTGTGTTTCTTGTCAGCAACCTTTCACGAATGATTGTTTGTCGCGAATATTTTACTGGGCCACAATGGTCATATCCAGTCAATAATCTAATTAATAGCGGTATTCCAAGAGTTGATGTAGCACCGCTACTACCAAATTATGGTCGTCCAGATGTGAAAACGTTTTCCACTGTTCCATTTCTTCCCAATACAAGTACAGGTAGTCGCATTCCAATAGGTGGTGCAGCAGCACCAACTAAAGATCGTCCAGACAAGAAAAAGTTTGCCATTGTTCCGTTTATTTTTAATAAAAGAACAGGTTCTCGCTTTCCAATAGGTGGTGTAGGACCACCAGGTAAAGATCCTCCAAACGTGAAAATGTTCTCCAGTTTTCGCTTATACAATAGCAGAGAATTACCACCAAAAGTAGATCTAAGAGGTTATATGACGGCGATTGAATACCAAGATCACCTTAACTGTTGGTAAGTAGAATTAAAGAAATTCCATAAAATCTGCGTTCAGCTGTGATGTACTGAAACATCTGATTCGTCGAAGTGAACAAAATGTGGATGAACAAGGTCTTTCACTGTGCTGATTTCAAAAACATTAGCTTGACTTTCAAAATCCATGTGTTTAGATTGCTCCAGTTTCCCTGCTTTCATGTAGCAAGAAACTCCTTCTTACTTCGCCTTTTTTTATCTTCTGCTGGCAGATCTGTTTTCAAATGGAAGACAGTGATGGAAAGCTAAATGTACAGCTGATTATATACTACAATTAGCTTCTGCAGAAGACGGAATGAAAGCCAGCTACTTGAAGCATCCAACAGTGTGACTAAAATCGTCAATTACCTCCTTAGTTCATGTCCAATATCGTTTGCAAACACGAACTAAGAGGCATAGAAGGGATTGTTAATTAGGCATTGGATTAAGTGTTGTCTCAGTCAACGAATAGATGCACGGGCGTTGAAAAGGCGTTTCAGTTATTCTACAAAAAAGCGCTTCTTATTTTCCATCTGATTGTAATGGAGCTACCATACATAGAGACCACGTGAAAGTCTGATGACGAAATTTGTTTTGCTTCAGTATACAAAAGTACCTCTTCACTCTTGCAAACTTGAATATATTCCACGTTAGCGAGCTCGGAGGCGCCAATTTTCCAATTAGGCTTTATCTAGTTTTCTAGATGTCTCAGAATCTTGATCAATAATCATTCAGTTGATCGATATTTAGCGATATGTAGTGAATGAAACTTTTGATCGACTAGCTGGCTCTTTACATGTGAACATCTTTCTGTTTTTGAAGGGATTAATCAGTCTCCTTATTCTGATTTTGTTTTCCCATAAGATGGTTTTTCTCCTAGATAGGTTTATCTTCAGAATCACTCTCATCACCAAGAGCCTCAGACTGGTACAAATTCTCCAAATCT